GGTGTGCGCCTCCTCCCCCTCCTCACCTGATTCGTCTTCGCCATCAAAGATCTTCGAGGGGGAAGCCGTTGACTCCAAAGTCCTTCGATGGTAGTTGTGGGGTCGGCCGGAGAGGCGGCGGCGGTTGGGAGCAGCGGCGCATTGGCTGCAGGGCAACGACGGACGAGCAGCGGCGCAAAGCAGGTGCTGGTGGCGATTCTGGTCGGAAGGAGGCAACAGGGTGAGGTGGTGCGGCTGGCCGCGGCAGAGCTCGTCCGCGAGTGTGGCGCGCAGAGGCTGTTGCTTCTAGCTGGCGGTGGTTGCCGTGGTGCAGCGCGGACGACACAACTGTAAGGGGAACCGATGGCAGCGCACATGGCCATGGGGGTATGGTGAGCGGGTTGGGGCGCAGTGGGAGAAGAGTGCCAGGGTCCAGGCAGTCTTCCTTCGCAGAGATGAATTGGAGGGTCGACGCCACCAACATGCGCTCGAGGCGAGGTCTGAGAATTTTCTCTTCTCTTAAATTGTTCATTTTGGGAATCCTTAATTGCATCGCCCAGCTCTGCTTAGACTGATTCATTTTCTGCATGCCCCTCCGCAAGTGTATCCTGACCATGTTGTCCGACCCCACCTACACGTCCGAGGTCTTGGAGAAGATTGGCCTCCTGCAGCGGCTTGTGACCCAAGGTCCTCAACACTGATGAGGCTTCATGGTTGGTAATAATGTTCTCACCTCATGGTTGAGATTTCTGGTTATATTGTCAAAATTATACCTTTTTGAGTTTTGAATCATGTGCTATTCAATCAGTCGGCTCAGCAGTATATTTTGTTTTCTGCCTGAATGAAGGATACCGTTCCAGTCATAGAACCAAGTCCCAAGCTCTCACCTCTGACCTCTCTGTCGACGATGCACATTGTCACTGCAGGTAGATTGCAGTTAAAGAATTACACAAGGTTAATTAATTCTTGGGCTGATTGTACGCATACTCTCTTCTTGCCATGCTTCTTAGGTTCCACAAGTAGAGATTCCTATGTATTAATGTATACTTGCTTTGTTGCCGGTACTTAACCATTTCTGACCATCTTGGAATTGTTTGCAGTTATGCCAAACAGTGCATCTGCTTCGACTGATTAATTTTCTGCGTGCCAAAGAGGGCCTTGACAAGTACCCCATGACCAAGTTGTTCCACCGTACCTACACGTCGTCGCCGCTGGCATATGACACAGGAAGATTGGCCTCCTGCAGCGGTTTGTGACCCAAGATCCTCAACAATGAGGCTTCATTCATGGCTGGTAAATAAAGACGAGCCCTGTTCTCACTTCTTGGTTGTTAGTTTTCTGTTTATATAGTCAGAATTATACCTTCTTGGTTGAATCATGTGTTATTCAGTCAGTCGTCTCATCACTATCTTTACTTTTCTGATGATAATCCTCAATCCTGCATGATTGAAAGACACCATTCCAGTCACAGAACCAAGCCCCAACCTACCATCCCTCTGTTGATGCCTACATTGTCATTACACATTGATTGCAATTAAACATGTACACAAGATTAATTATTTTTTCTGCTGACTGCAAGTATATTCTCTTCTAGCCGTGCTTCTTAGGTTTCAAGTGTTCATATGTATAGTTGCTTTGCAGCCACTTGACCATGTATGTCCTTCTTGGAATTATTTGCAGTGATGCCAAACTTTGCCCAGCACCAGGCCCACCCAAAGGGGCACACACGAGCCCTCCCCATGGCGGTGGCGCGCCTCCTAAGTTCGTGATGCAAGGATCAGGTAGCAGTATAGCACCGGGTTGCAACATTTGACAAGGAGGGCATCCGGAAGTGGCTATGCATGCTCACGTGCAGTAGGTATGAATCAGGTCCTTGTTCCCCATTCATGCATCATGTTTCATATGGAGCTAAGAGATGTTTTCTGCCTTTTATTTTTTTGTATAAACAAAAATCCTTGTTGTTTTGGCTGCTGGCGTTTGTTAATACTTGCTTACTTCTGAAACCTGATATCTGAATTTGAGGTGATGGTTTTCCATATTACATATTGATTCAAAAACAATGTTAATCCATGACATCAACTATTAATCTTCCCTTTGTCATGTTCACTTTTAACTTTTATTATTCATTTGAGGGATTTTTTTTGGATTAATCCAGTTCCAACTGTCAATCTATCCCCACATAACAATAGAAACACAACGAGAAGGTAATCAAGAAAACCTCAAACGTGTAAGCTTCTTGGATTGAAAATTTGCAAGTCAAGTTTTCTAATTTGACTTCATTGCAGAGCAGTGGCGGAGCTTCAAAGAAAAAGTTGGGCGGGCCAAGTTAAAGAAAAGCACAATTTTTCTAGGCATATATGTCAACAAACAAGTTAATGGCCAGATAATCATATTCTACATCATTAGCAACATTGTTTCAATGATCTTCATATACTAAAGCACGGTTAACAAAAAGTATTAAGCATTAGGTATGAACTCTTAAGAAAAAATAGCTTTCTATCTTCCATTTCTACGTATAAATTAGTAATAAAATGCATTAATTATGCTCAGTTCAACTAATGGACAACAAAAACAGACTACTCCAAGTTACCCAGCGGCACGGTTGTCACTTATGAGGAGGTAAACTGGACTAAGTGCATAGTTATATAAAATATCATGAAAATCCTGGGCGGGCCATGGCCCGGTTTAGCCCCAATGAAGCTCCGCCCCTGTTGCAGAGGAACTACCAAAGAAGACCTACAACTGTAGCGGGAATGACTGCAAAGTAAGTTAATGTTCATTAAATTCCATCTTGTAGACATTTAATTGAGAGATGCAATAGTCAATAACATGTTTATAGGGCTTCCATGAAACATCAGCATTTGTTGAGGTATGCAGTGTTTCACATATGTAGATGTTGCCGCAGTTTCTTAAGAGTCAGGATATATATAGACTTTCCTCAGATATATACAGGCGAGTTATGTCTGTACCTGTTGTGCATAATGATGCTACAACCCCACACTGTTGTTATTTTATACTTCCTCCGTCCGGATATACTTGTCATCAAAATGGATAAAAAGGATGTATCTAGAACTTTTTATCCATTTTGATGACAAGTATTTTCGGACGGAGGAAGTATTAGTTAGTATAGCATGAACTGTACACGTATTTGTTTCCTTGGAACCAAGTAGGAACCTGGAGTTTTATTGCTTGGAATGTGTAACCTACTCTGAAGTCAGAAGATGTAATTCAATAACACATGTTTGGAGCAAAGCATTTTTTCATGTCTACACACTTACTTTTGTTACAGTTTTGAGATTTTTGTTCCATCCAGTTGACCTCAAATTAACATTTTAGTTACATTATTCTTTTCTACGATCATATGTTCATGCACGTGCATACTTACTAGTAGGCTTACTGGTTACTTTTTCACCCGAAGGAAATAAAAGAAGCTACTGTGACTTATCAACGAAACATCTTACAAATATCAAATAAATCTCTCGTGGGAAAATAACTACTCTCTCCACCATAATATAAGAGCGTTTTTGACACGCTCTTATATTATAAATCTTCCGTGGGAAAAAACTACTTTCTCTGTCTCATAATATAAGAGTGTTTTTTTTTTTGCATGGTAATACGTGTCTCATTCATATCATAAAGAACAAAATACAAGTCACGTAAGAACCGACATGACAAAACTGAAAAGATAGCAGAACATCTCTGAGCTTGACACTAACGCACGTCACCTGCCTCCGGCACCACCACCACAGCAGCCATCGGAAAAAAATTGACGGATCACCTCCTCACCCGAGCTCGACGCGGCTCCATCGCTGATATGCAGCTTTGCGGACCTCCAAGGTGGCTCACCAAAAGTGAAGCCATTGTCGTTGAACGAATCAGACCGGGACAACACCCCAGACACGCCATCGAACTCCAGATCTGGCACCCCACCACGACTAAGACGCCAAAGGAGGAAATCATACCTGCCATCCACGAACCACAAACCTAGCACACGTTCCGTCTTCCAGATGTCATCGATGCAGACCACAATCTGCATCCGCTCCTGGACTACCTCCCAAGCCCCACGCCGACCACGCCGACGCTGGAGCAAACATCGTCGCAACGACGGAGCCCGAGGACACAGGTCCACCACGAGGATGCCGCCACCGCCACACCATCCTTGCTTGAACAGACTGATTTCCAGATCCATCCCCAACCATAGGACCGATGGCCTCGTCAGAAAAGGATCTGAAGAATATTTATTCAGCGTCGACATCGTCGCCGCCGAAGCAAAGACGATGAACAACCTAAAAACCTAGACTACGGATGAGTAAAAACGATCCACACGCGTGGATCCGACGACCCCCTCACCACCGACAACCGAAGTCGCCAGCGGAGGGGAGCCGCCGGAGGACGGCGTTGGAAGATCGGCCCCTGGCGGCGGCTAGGGTTGCAGCCGCCAGGTACGAGAGGAAAACTGCCTGGCATATAAGAGTGTTTTTGACACCTCTTATATTATGGTGCAGATGAGTATCAGATAATCACAGTACGCAACTAAAAAATGTACTCCCTCCATTTGAAAATACTTGTCGGAGAAATGGATAAAATGGGTTTTATCCATTTCTCTGACAAGTAAGCACTATCACAAAATATAAAAGAGAAAACTACTGTCAAACAACAAATATTCTTCACAAGCAGATGACGTGATCTTCATGTCTGAAGAACATCTTCAGAGTGCTTGTATCAAGTTTACTCTTTGCATTTTTTGGATACTTAAATGATTTATAAAGGTCAATTTTCATAAGATTAAACTTTGTTATCTTGGTCACGCTAATATGCTGCACACCACACGGCAGAAAAGCAAAGTGCGCCAAAGCTACATTTATACTGTTCGGGGGAGATATGTACACAAAAACTGCATGGCCGTGGAAGAAAACCCTGTGATCACTTTTGTACATGCCACACAAGTTAAGAAAGAACTAAAAAGTGCAGCTGAGGATACGAGTCTTATCTGTGATAACTAGAGCCAGTACGCATTTAACCTAGATAAGGCTATCAGGATGTTCTCCACTGCTCCCTCCAACAAATGTCTCTGAAGTTTTTGGCAGATTGTCTACACTGGCAAAAAGCTCGTCCGCCGCAGAAGCATACAAGCTTGAAGGCTCTGGCAGATCAACCACATCAGGGAAAGGCCCGTTCACTGAAGGAGTATATGTCTCTGAAGGGTTTGTCAGATCAACCACATCAAGTAAGGGTTTGCTGGAGGCACAAGCATTGACCTCTGACGGTGCCGGCTCATCAACCACGTCAAATAAAGGCCCATCCATGGCAAAGGCATCATCATCTGAAGACGGGAATGTAGTGAACAAATGATCCGAACCAAGGCCAGCAGCATCACTGTCAGACTCCTCCACAGCAGAAATTTGTGATTCAGAATCAGATGATTCAGCAAGCAAGACTTCGAGAGAAGGGCTGCTTGTACTCGTTCTCTTCGGTACGAAAGCCATGCCCAATATGTCGTTCTCCTGTGAGCCCACAGTTGGGCTTACATCAGGACCAGCTCCATTACCCGCAAAAAGATCTTCCACATGATTTCCAGTCGCGGCATTCCCTGAACTGGTGGCTTCTCTGGAAGAATCTCCATCAGATGGTTCCGTACTACTCAAATCTGACAAGGAGTGTTCTACCTCTGGTTTTCTGAAGCTTTCGCTGGGGCCTGAGTACAAGCTGCCACAGAATACAGAGTCCATCCCACCAGAAAGCCTAGTGTTGTCCTTTGTATTCTCCAGAACTCCATCCTCATCTGACAGGGTTTCCATTTCATTGGTACTGTGCCCACCAGAAAGCATAATGCTGCCCTTTGTATTCTCCAGAACTCCATCCTCATCTGACAGGGTTTCCATTGCATTCGTACTGTGCCTGTTAGCACCATTTGCAGGAGCTGCATGGCTTGATGGTTCAAAGGTTGTCTCGATGGATATGTCATCACAAAAATTTCCATCTCCCTCATCAACCTCGAAAGCTTTCTTCAATAGCGAAAGTTGGAAGATTGGGTTCTGCTGGCTCGCTTTGCTGTCACCACCTTCCAAGTTCTGATGTGCTCCTGTCAATGTTCTCTGGAAGGACGGAATTGCAGCGTCATCATTACCACAGCACACCTCAGAAGTACCATTCCTAAAAGCATTCCGTGCCACCAGAAACTCTGCCAATGGTAAGGAAGGTCTGCTTTCATCCACTTGAGCCGTCTCACCAACACATTGAAATATGGTAGGAGGTTTTGCCTGAGTTCTGCCATCAACAGACCCGGAGTGTGTAGCAAGCTGAGAAGGATCATCCACAGGTTCAGTGCTTGTGACAAGCGGAATCATGTCCGAACTAGGACCATTGTTCTGTCCATTTACCTGAGTGTAATCATCTATAGATCCTGTAAGAGACTGTGAAGGAACAACCAACAGTTCAGTGCTAGCAAATGTCTTCTTGTCCGGATTCATATCAATATTCTGTCCATTTACCTCAACACTGCTAACCAAGTTTGCCTTAGATACAGAAATGAGTGGAGCCACATCAACCTCCTGAAAAGATATCGAGGTACTAATCTTCTTTGTGTCACCAAAGATGCCATGAAAGTCATCTTTAGTGGATGTGTCATGAAGATGTCCATGAGAAGGGAAGGAACTAGAGGAATCATCAGTATTTCCACAACTTACATTACTGGCAGTGCAAGCAACAGACTTTGAAGGTGATGTTCCTTTGGTGGAAGTGAGAAAAGCCTCCAAGGCAGACGCTAATGCGCCATCGACAGATACAGGAGTTTTGCCTTTGAAGCTGTTGTCAGTGCTTTTGCTCAGAGTATCATCAGAATTTGTACGACCATCATCAACAATGTCAGCTTCTGCTTGTTTATCTTCCTCCGCTTCATCCTCTTCATCATTTAGGAATTCAGGAACCTTGATAACTAGACCTGGGGAAGTCTTGCGTTCTCTCTCAAAAGGTAAAGGCCCACCATTAAGCTTCTCACATGTAAACCCAGGTTCACAGATGAAATCAGGAGCCTTAAGGACCCTTGGCACAACATTAGGTCCATGTAAATTAACTGTATTCTCATCAGCCACATCACAATTAGAGTAATCTTCTGAAGAAAATTCCGGTGCCCTCATAACCAAGCCTGGCTGCCTGTTGTTCATCACAGAGGCAGAAGTTCCAGAATTCCCACCATTATGTTCCTTTTGCTGCGAGTTAATTGTATCAGAAAAAGCATTTGGTGCTGACATTCTTGCAGAAGAACTTCGTAGAGACTGAATCTCCACAGAGAATGAATCAAACTGCTGCTCCAGTCGCTGAAGCCTTGCCTCAATGCTACTGAGGGGCCTCATCATTTTGTCCTCAAACCTAGAGCAACATAACTCCACCTTCTCCACCTTAGAGATCAGAGTATCCAGCATTCTCTCAATGTGATTGTGTGGAGTAACATTTTCATTCATAATAGGACCAGCCTCCGGGTACAGATTTGATACTGTCTTATCCTTCGCCAATGTCACTTGTGCATTTTCTGTTGTTTTTACAGGCAATGGAAGAGGCTTGGGATCATTTAATGGGAACTCATGTTGGTTGCCATCATCATCACATATCGTACCACTCTGCGCAGGTGGTAGTCTGCTCTGCACTCCAGCTGGATTAAATTTGCAATCATTTGTACCATACAGCCCTGCTTCTTTCGCTATGTTTCCACATGGGATGCTATCTTTCAACACGCAGCCTTCAGAAAGTTGGGCTTTCAAGCCTTCAGCAAAATATTTGTCATCTATTTTGCAGTCCCTAGATTTGGAAATTTGCATAAGGCCAGGAACAAGCATAGCCAACAAAGAACTACCTCCCATGTTTCCAGGACCTGCTACTGAATCATCACTGCTGGATTCAACAAGATCAGCAAATATGTAGATCTCTTCAATATGCACTGATGTCTTTGACTGAAGTGAAAGAAGACGGACAGTAAGAGATACACATGGGTTTGCATCAGTTATCTCGGCAGTTGCTTCGTAGTGAGCCTGGAATGGACAAAGTAATACAAAATTATAGTATACGTAAGAAGCTAAGAAAATTTCTTAGATAGCGAGTACTAGACAATGGCTGTTGACAAAAAAGGGAAATACCAGAGTATTTTTCTGGCAGATTCCTATCGCATTCCTTTCTGCTTGAGATTCTGGCGTGTAATTTCCAAGAGGAGACTCAGGAATTTTGACTTCAACCCAGCTATCTTCATCGCTACTACTTGTAACACTTTTGGCCTCTTGTTCATGCTTTTCACTGGTTGCAGCATTGCTACTCGCCTGAGATACACATTCTTCACCAGGAGGCTGCGGTTCTTGAGCAGCAATTCCACAGCGTACAGTGCATAGATAATCTTTACTTGCATCCTTCAGGTCAGTTGAACAGTATATTTCATAAGTTCGAGCTGTGCTTCGCACATACACTCTATGAATCTCATACTTTCCTGTGAAACCAACTGAAGAAAAGAAATGGATTAGATACACTGATAGTGAGATGGAAAATGGTTTGATATTTAGCAGTAAGATATCGCAAAGTATTTCTAGAACAAGATGGAGACTGCCAGGAAACTGGGTCATGAAAGGCACTGTGGTGTACACAGAATGAGATAGAGCCTGACTCCACATTTGCAATGCTAAAAGGATGGATACACAATGAGAAATAAAAGTATTGCTTCCATTGTTTGTATTCCAACATAAGTTAGCCGTCTGCAATTTACCCCAACTAAAGGAAGGAAATAGATCATGGGAATTTCAACATGACTGATGTTGGGTGGACTATTCATACGGAACTACTTGCTTTGATTTCAGTCTACTCAGAGATGTGGAAGCTAAAGTTGTAAGATGATGCAGATATATTCCAAAGTAGTAAGCGATACCAATTATTGTGATGTGCAGAATACTGGAGTATTATGTATTTAAGATATTTAAAGCAGAATATTCAGGCGTTGCTATGGAGATTAAATGCCCGTACATTGCTATAGAAGTTTGTGTCGTTGTAATACATAGCTTTGTGCAGATAATACATCAATCGAATCAACTAACCAAAAGATCGCCATACATCATACATCTGTCTGCTAAATAGAAAGTAGCATAATTGCGGAAATTAATTTACTGGCAACTTAAGAGGTAACCTTAGAGAGTGAATGGACCACCAGCTCAGAACTTATAACAGTAAATATAGATATAGAAACTTATCACACAGTTTGTGGTATCCACTTCTAGCATGAGCGTGAACAAGAACTGGGCATCTATAATGATATGGTAGTCCAATTTCAACGGACTCTGCACTGGAACCCCAAACAGCGATGGCCAGTTTGGGGCTTGGCTTGTACTAGACCACTAGGGTTTATCCACCCATACACTGACTACCGCGACAGAGCAATTCCCGACAGCGCGTGCATCTGCATCCAACCAGCGACAGGAACCATCGCAACAAAGCAATTCGCGATGAAACCGCGCAAACTCCTCCAGCAGGCTCAACCTTTCCCAGAAAATCCAAGAGAGAAAACGAGGGCTCACTCGTAATTTCGCAGGGAGTTGGATCCTCTCTGCCGTCGGACGGCGGGCGGGCGAGGACGATGGGCAAAGGGGAAGTCTCGGCGTCGTCTGCGGTCGTCTCGAACGACACGGCGTCCTCGACCGCGGCGCCTCCGGCTGGGGCCCAGGTGCTAGTCGCCGTCCATGGCCTCCCCGGCTCGCCTCCCGATCCCGATCCCGATCCCTTTCCCGGTGTCCCCATCGATCGTGGTCGCAGCCGGCCGCCGCTTGCGCGGAGACGGTGGGTATCGGCGGTGGCGTACCGGTGGTGTTCGCCGTTGGTCGCCTCGCTCACTTCCGGATTCCGCGAGCGCTCGCTCGGTACGCGAATCTGGTGCGGGATCTGGTCTTACGGGCCCTCGAAGCGAAGTGTAGAAGATTTGGGTTGGCCGGGTCCTACCGTTAGGCCTGTAAATGACGCCGACTCAACCTATGGGCCTCCCGCGTTTTGGGCTTCGGCCCGTTTTCAAATCGTTATCCACACCGCGAATGCTCCACCACCGCAGCTGCGGACGATGCTTCCCGAGCGCGGACGGCAAAGAGGATGCAGCTCCGCTTCCTCCCGTTCGCCGCGAGCGCCGTGGCCGGAAGGAGCTTCCTCGCCGCTATTCCTCGGCCAGTGACGGAGAGAAGGACGCACCTACGCTGCAACGCGGGCAACTCCTCGTCGTCGTCGGAGGACGAGGGCGGCGAGCTTAGCGCGGCAGAAGAGGCGCTGCGGCGGCTGGCGGAGCTCGACGCCCAGCTGGAGGGGCTGAAGGAGCCTAAGATGAGGCCGCCGCCGCCCCCTCCTCCCCCGGGTAATCATTTTCTTTTCCCACCCCGTTCTCCTCGTGCCAAATTGCCTGCCTCTCCGGTTTTCCATGCGTCCATGCTCCCCTGTCCTCCCATTCAATCAGTCGTCTAGAGTTCGAGATCTTCATCGCGGCCAATAATAATTGATTCATGTCAAGTTCGCCGTTCGCGCGTTTGGAATGAAAATTTAGTGGGCTGCCTAACCTACGGAGAAGAGATGAATCGATCTTCAATACTCTGAAACAACTTTGGTGCATACTTGGGTATACCGTAGTGCTCGATGGAACAGGCCATTTGTCAGAGCATCCCCACTCATTGGGCCCCGGCGCACCCGGCGATTGCGTTTTGTAGTATGCGCTGGCTTTTTTTTTTCTGCCCTCGGGGCGATCCAGTCCCCAGTGGCGCCCCCAGGTTTCGGCCCTTAGACGTCTATAAATTCAAACTTGTGTTTCCTGCTGCCAAAAAAAGCCACAAGTTCGGCCATCATCATGCCGCAGTTCGGTGATCACCATGCCATAGTTCGGAGATCAAACATACACGAAAGTTCGGCGATCAAAAGGAAGGACACGTAGACAAAGGAACGCGTCAAACGGCGGGCTCCTCTGGCGTGGGACTGGCCGGTGTCGACATGCTCGGCGTCGGCGTGGCTTCTGCGCTCGGGCTGGTGGTCGGCGTCGGCTCCGCTTCATCGCTCGGGCTGGGAGTCGGCGTTGCTGTCGGCGTGGGCGTAGGGGCAGTGGTCGACGCAGGCCCGGGCATCTGGTTCAGGATGAGGCCGCGCTCTACTAGGTACCACGCCTTGACCTGCTTGTCTATCGTCGACATGTCTGCCGCCATCAAGAACGCCAGGTCGGTGTTCCTCTTCTTCGCGGCGACGTTGGTCCTGAGAAGTCGAGCTTGACATCGTTGTTCGTCATCAACGCCAACCACCTCGCGTCAGATTTCTCCTCCCTCTTTGCGGCGTTTTCCTTGGCGTCGACGATACACTGCTCGATCGATGCTTGAAGCCGTTTGACAGCGGGCGCCGCGTCGCTCGCGGCCTTGGCTCTTTTGTTGCCAGTAGGGCGCCCATCGGCCGCCCCCGGGGCTGGCACGTCTGACCTGTACATCTTCTTGGGCTTGGCGAGGGTGAGCTGGACCTTCCTCCACTTCTCGCACGACTCGATCCTGGAGAACACGTGAAGGAACTTGAACTCGGCATCACTGTTGTCCTGGCGGTACATGTTGCACATCTGAACCATCTGCACAGTCGAAGAACAAGTGTCGGCGATCACAATGGCGAAAAAGAACTGAGCCGGCGGCTGGGCATACCTGGCCCATGATGTTGGCGCCGCTTTCCGTGCGAGCCGCGACCTCCTCTTCAATCCCATGCCATTTGTTGCAGGCCGCCTGGATGATCGCCCAATGGTTCGCCATGGCCTTGTCGCCGCACTCCATGTGGATGTTCGCAAAGTAGGGGTCGACCAACTTGTGCTCGTCGAACGCCATCTTGATCCTTCTCCAGTACGTGTCGGCATTCTGGTTCGCGCCGGTGACCGGGTCGATGCTGACGGTCTTCCATGCTTCGGCGAGGCACTCGTCTTCCTTCGACGTCCACTTGACGCGAGGCTCGCCTGGCCTGGCATTGGCCGCTCGCTCCTTCTTTCTCCCTTTCGCGATCGCCGCCGGCTCCGCCTCCTCCTCCGCCTGTTCTTCCTCGCCCTCCTCCTCGGCGTCGTCGAGCTCGTCGTCCAAGTCGGCGTCCATCGTGTCGTCTCATGCGTGGAACCCGGGGCCGGAAGCGGCAGCGACTGAGCCGCACGTGGTGATCTCGTCCATGTGTGGCGTTGGTGGCGTCGGTGTTGCTGAACTGCGGCGACGAACCATGCGCAAACGACAGGGCGCCCCGGCGTAGAGGAGGCGCTGGCGAGGCTGAGTACGCTAGCGGCGAGTAGCTATACTGGGTGTTGAGGCCGGCGGCGAATGCGGGGGAGGGAGTGCGCTGGTCGGGGTTGAGGCCGGAGGGCGAGGCACGCGGCGGCGCGCCATGTGGGAAGGTGATGTTGGGGTTGAACCCACCATGTGCGTCGCCGTCGGAGTAGCCGAGCGAGGGTGCGTACCCCATTGCGGCGGTGGCGGCGAGAGGTTGGCTTGCGACGCGACGCTCGCCTGGGTCCCCCATGCGGCGTGTGGACCGGGCGGCAGGTTCATCATCCCCGCGCGAGCCGCCTCTGCCTGCTCCGCCGCCGCCGTCGCGTCCCTGGCCCTCTTGACGATGAGCCTATTCCGTCGGTTGGCTGTGACTAGTCCTGGCCATCTCCGGCCCGGCCCTGTCGGCCCGCCCAGGCCCGGCCCTAAAATCCAGGGCCTAGGCCCGATGGGCTTGCCTGTGGCCCGGGCTTGGGCCTGAGTTTTGAGCCCATCATCAGGGCCTGGACGGGCTTGGGCTTGGCATATTGGCATTTTAAGGAAGAGGCCCGGCACACGGCCCTAAGCCCTAAGGGCTTTTCAGGGCTTTTTACCAGATGGGCCGAGCTTGGGCTTGAAAAGTAGGCCCGATGGTAGGGCCTGCGCCTTAGTTTTCAGCCGTGGGCTTTTTTAGGCCCGGCCCGGCCCATGGCCAAGTATAGTTGTGACCGCCTCGCGGCGTTGAATGTCCCCTCCAATCGGCGTTGGACACTCCTGGTGGCCTTGCCATCGGAGCCCTCGGCTTCCTCTACTTCGGCTGGGTGGAATCGGCAACGGCACGAGGGGCAACATATTTTGGCTCCCGGTCTGACGAGGAGAATAGCGGGAACGACGGGGGAAATGGAGGGAAGAGATGGGCAAAACGGCGGGAATATGCGTGGTGTCGCCGACAGCGCGGCCCCACGCGACTTTTAGCTTCAACCGGCACCCCCAGGCTGCCCCCGGCGCGCTGGGTTCGGCTCGGGGTTCGCCGGTAGTTTTTCGGCCCAAACTGACGATAATCGAGGAGCTGAGGACGCGACTGAGCCAATTTTTCGGCGCCGGCTCTAAAAAGGCGCCGTGGGGCCTGTTGGGGGCGCGAAGCGCGAAAGCCATTGCGCGTTAGCGCATCCGTTTTCTTGCTTGATTTTTATACGATTTTTTGAGCAACTAGCGCGAAAGCCGTTGCGCGAACAGGAAACTAATTAAACGGAAAAGAAAGCTAAGCTCAAGACAGGACTAGAGGAGTGCGCTCCACTCCGCGAGATCTTGTTCCCCCTCTCCGGTAGATCTATCCGCATCTCTACGGTTCTCAGTACCCACTCAGTTGCTCTAGTCACGCCTCTCGGATTCACTCCTCGAGGCTAGGAACAGTCCTTCGGCACCGGGTCGATACGGCCTACAGGCCATGTCTCCCCTATCCGGGGCATACGACTGCTGACTCTACTTAAGCAGCCTAGAACCCCGGACTGCGGGCTTTCGCTCTGACCCATGAAGGGATCAAAGCTCAGAACCCTGGCTTTCCTGACTAGAGCTGATTCGTGGGTACTGCTCTCCTATGTTCTGAGGAACGATCCCGTTGGGGGCGCGAGCGAAGATGCTCTTAGCCTCGAGCCTCGTCACCAACTTTGGTGCATATTTCGGTATACGGTAGTGCTAGTCACTTCTCATGTATAGGAGAAGTATTACTTCATTGCAGAATGCACACGAACAGTTCATTTCCTCATTTGTTCTTCGTAGCAGTACTCTGTCCTTCAAAGTACTCCCTCCGTTCGGAATTACTTGCCGCAGAAATGAATGTATCTAGATATATTTTAGTTTTAGATACATCCATTTCCGAGACAAGTAATTCCGAACGGAGGGAGTATAAGTTAGTGCAGTAGCACAGTAGCGCTTACTTTACAGCCTAGAGCTAGCCCTGTGCGTTCGGTTTATTCGGTTTACATGGTTTGGTTTATACGGTTTTTCGGTATGTACGATATTAATACTTCGGTAAATACGGTATGAAATTAAAATACGGTTCGGTTTCGGTATATACCAAATTATTTCGGTATATACCATAAAAACCAAAGTTGACGCGAATTTGAAAATGACGTAATAATAATTTGCAAATTTATGACTTAAAACACATTCTATTTTACACAAATAGTATATGACTATATATATAAGTATATATGCATGCATTGATTCATCTGTTGATGGTTATGGACGTGCTTAGCATTTTAAAAAGAGAAAAATGACAATGTTACAAGAAAAATGTAGGTGCTTAGTAGTGAATTTGACTCATGTACAAGAAAAATGACAACTTGTACGGTTGTTCATCTCAAAAAATATAAATTTATCTTTTACTTCGGTTTATTCGGTTAACCATTCGGTTTTTCGGTATATACCATAAAAACCAAAGTTCAAATCGGTATGAAAAGGTCATACCATACTGAAACCGGAAACCATAAAAACAAAAAAATCGGTTCGGTTCGGTTTATTTTCGGTATGGTTTTTCGGTTCGGTTTTAAAATGCACAGAGTGACCTAGAGCAATGCTTCTAGATATACCAAGCCACAGTGATCCGTAGCGTCAATTCGTCGGTTGCTAAGCAACGACAGCACATTGATGCTCAAGTCACTTCCTACTTTTCCTAGGGCAGTACTGTGTGCTTGCTAGCATAGCATGTACTCCTATGGAAGTACTTCTCGTCATAGTCCATGCCATTGCTTAATTTGCCTGCTTGATCACTTCTCTGCTAACTTCTCTGTGTGGGTACTTGTGTATTTACTATGTTCAATTTTGTTAGCACAGATCCTTTCATGGACCGCGATATGATCATACAGCGAGGACGCCCAAGTGATGAGCTCCCAGAAATGACCCCGGCCTACGTAACGTTCTCGACTCTGGCAATTTTTATCCTGACCATCTTCACCAACGTGGTGTTCAACGTGTACATCAAGCCTTCCGTGGACGGCGCCGATCGGCCGGTAAGAATCCAGAGAGTGCCTCTGGCTGATCCTAGCTTCCAGCAGCCCGGCAATTCTAGTGGTAGCTCGTAGACATATATGCACGACACGATAATACAGTTTGATAGATACAGTGGGGAAGGGCTGTGCTTTGCAAGTTAACTCAAGTCATGTGCCTCATATTTGCATCATGATGATGTATTTAACACAATAACACCCACATGCTCCAAACGAGCTATGTTTTGCTGGCCTCCACATTGAGGGTTTCATTATGGAACAAGGTGCTGCACATGTGTCCATGGGGCTTCACCTGGTATATGTATATCCTTTTTTCTTTTCATTCGATTAGCAGCTTCCATCGACTCAATGATGATCAATCAATTACATTCAGCAGCACAATGATCTCCTGGATCGAATACATCAGACCCAACTTGTGAACCAGTTAATTGTATCAGTGGTGACGCTAGACATGGAGAGCAAATTGCCTCTTCTCTCGCACTAATCAGCCAATGGCGAGGCAAATTGTTTGCAGCAACATGCATATGCTGATGCCAAAATTCCAAAAACGCCGACATGGATGAGCTGTGGACAATGGTCGTGCGGCACGCGACAGAGGCGGAGCGGCAGGGTACGTAGCGTACGCCCGTGGTAGCGGTCCCGGGCTCTGCGATCTTCTACTGTGTCGCTACTGGTTTTTTCTTGCAGCTGTCTACAAATTCATATGGAGTACTGTACTGTATTTCTTTGTCTCTCTTGATTTAATTTTTCTCTCGTTTGTTGTATTTGCCTTGTTTCGTCCGGATTATACACCGGCTCTGCTCTACCCTGTCGGCAGTTCTCGAGTTGCCGTAAAGATCACACAGCTTTCTCGTTGGCTTTCGCTTTCCCTATGCAAGATTCTCGGTTGCTTTCCTCTCGTAGACACAGTACATCTTGGGTTTTTCTTTTCTGAACCGTGACACAGTACATCCTGGTTCGTCTCCTATTTCATCACAGCTCGAGTCATTTTAATTTTCTCTTTAGTTTCATTTGAAACGCTACTACTCGTACTCGTTGTGGATCGGAGGGGGTACAAGTTTTTTACTACGTCTGATTTCGATGTGGCGACACAGCAGACCAAACTTTGACCCTAGTTTGAGCCTCGCATGTAGGCCTTCAATGCTGTCCCTGCTTATTTCCCCTTGTTTATTTATTACTTTATTCATTTCCCTTATCTTGTTCTAACCCAACCTCGAAGAAATACCTGGGCGCGTTTGTTTAGAGGAATCTCGTAACATGGACTCCATAATTTATCTCTGCCAAAAGAGAACATACTTCAACTCTCTCTGGATCGAGTCACCGAGTTCCAGTCCGGCTACCAACATCTCACGTGCCGTGACCCAAACACTCGTGTTTCTCCCTCCTTTTTTCTTGAGGGGGAGCTTGTATTTTCCTAGTACTCCCTCCGTTCCAAAATATAGTGTGCCCGCGCTTCCCGAGGTTCAACTTTGACCATAAATTTAACCAACGAGATCAACTGCGGCGGGAGAAAAAATTATATAATTGAAAACTTCATTCGAATACGAATTCACTGATATAATTTTTGCTCCCGCCGCAATCGGTCTTGGCAGTTAAATTTACGGTCAAAGTTGAAGCACGTGGATAGAGGAAGCACTACATCGTGAAATGGAGGGAGTAGTATTTTGTACTACTACAAGGCGGTGTTGCAGGCACAATCTTAGCTCTCCTCACAAGAAACTCCTCTCAAGATGACGGGAGGCGAGAAGACCGTCGTCGGCGAGATCGCCGGATCTCACCGACGGTCTTCTCACCTCCTGTCGGCGTTCCCGCTGATCCGCCCTGTCTTAGGGTCTGGGGTGAACCTCAGCCCTCGTCGATGGAAGGGTTCTTGCTCCGTTTTCAGGGTTTTTAAAGTTCATTAGAGTATGTATCCTACTCATGGATGCGAGACGGCGGCGGCTTTCTGTAGTTGGAATAAGGTATCCTCGCCTAGTCTCTGTTTTGGAGGTGCGTACAGTGTCGTCGGAAGGCGTGTGGAGGTGTGCCTCCGGCGGATCTTCTAGGATTTGATTGGTATTGGTCTTGATCTCCATGGATTTAGTCTTGGTGCGTCTATATTTGTGTGTATACAAGTTGGATTCTCCTGATCTACGCTTCTCTTCATCGATGGTGGTTGTTGTGTGTCTACAAGTCTTGGCGGCTGTTCTAATGCGCTGGTCCTGTGGGGCCAAAGCACGATGACTTTTCGACCGTCCACTATAACAAGTTTTGCTCGGCAGTGACGTGCCTTCAGCTCATCCAGTGATTGTAGTCGTTGCTAGATGATGAATTGACCTGGATGTAATTTTTATTATTTATAGTGTTCATTGTACTGTCAGGACCAATTGATGAATACTCCATCCATCCCATAATGTAAGACTTTTTTGACACACTACATTATGGGACCGTTTGACTTTTAGTTATGAGATCTGAGAGCTAAACTGACTTAGGTCCAGCATCACGCGTGCCATCCTTTTCGTCCAGGAACTGCCACTGCATGCATCGCGCCCCATCTCGTGTGGATCATGCATGTGCATCCCCAGATCCGGTTCATCTCATCGGGAGCAACCGGACAAGCGCTTGGGCTGCGCGATCGGGACACCGGACGGACACGTCGCCGCGCGCGGCCGCGGCCGTCGGCAGGTCGTTGCCCCGCGCTCTCGTCAAACCACGGCCGGCCGCTCCGTGCACGCGCGTGTGTGACTGCGAGTTGCGACGCGACGCCAAGCTGATGGGCGCGGTGTCGAGCCCTCGGCGACCGGGTGATCGTCCGCGCCGCTGTCGCGCACCAGCGGTGGGCCGGGCGGAGCGCGCGACGCAATGCATCGGGGGATGGACGGGTGCCTTCCTTTCTTTCACTTGACAGCACGCTCGCTGTCTGGGACGAGCGCGAGAAATCGATCGGTAGTAACAATAATTGCGGGTGACGGAGCGAATCGGTCTGCCTGGCCCTGCCCTGCCCTGGGCGGTTTGGCCGGGCATGTGAAGCTCAGCCGCGCGCGAGCGGTGGCCCGGCAGATCGCACAGGCCTGTGGACGCGGCCAATTACTTATCCCTGCCCCTGCGTTGCGTATTCACTCCGGCCTGCGGCGGCACAGCGACGACAGCTGCTAGTGATCGATTCTACTTTTTCACGAGCGCACGTGATCGCCCGCCAGCCACTCGCTAGTTGTCACTCACCCGCTCGCCAGTAGGCGAGGCTAGCATCGATATGTGGTCTACACTCACTCGAGTAGTACAAATCTTATCTTACCAGAGCTAGTAAGATCTTTTCTCGCTCGTCTCTTTTCCATTGCGGCTCGTTTTACACACGATCTAATTCACAGACCCCACCCCGCTGCTAAAAGAAAGCGTAGAGATGACGATCAATAACGTGCACGCCCGCCGAACCCTTTGATTGATCATGAGCTCGCGGAAGCGAGAGGAGCATCTCCACGCCCATGTGGTGCGCAGCTGGAGGCCGGGAGGGAGAGCGAACGCAAAGCTGCATTGCATGGCATGCGGCCGGGCCAGGCGAGCTCTGCGCTGCTCGTCATCGGGCGGCCCGGAAAGCCGAAAGAATCCTTTTGCTTTTCGCCATCGCTGCGCTGCCTTCCTTCCTTCCCCGGGCGCCCCTCTCTTTCTTGCTTGCTTCCACATGCGCTCTCGTGTGCGGCCTGAACCCTGTCGGACACGTCCATGCCGCATTATTCAGCCTCCTCTCCTCACATCACATGGGGCGCTGAAGCGGCGAGGGACTCGAGACGTGCTTCGTGGTTGATGCCGAGCCGGGCTAGAGGGCGGCCACTAGCTCGTACGTTTCGGGTCAGAGGGTCACTCAGTGTCTGCCCCGCTGCCGGCGTGTGCCATGCGTGCGCTTTCGTTGTGATGTGTGAGTGACTTACGTGCCACGGCAGGAGGTGCCTTCCATGCCTTGATGAGTACAATACGTACATTTACCTTCTTGGCTTCCTGCTCCCGCGATTAATCTCGTCAAAAAGATTGCATTTGATTATGCATTTCCTTGCAAATTTTTTGAGAAATCCAAGCCCAAAAAAGGATGGGAGAGGCTATGTGCCCGTCGACTGAAAATCCTTATTAGGGTCAATCGATGTTCTCCGCCCTTGATCTCTAATCTTATGGCCAGCAGTATTTTCCGCCTATTTCTGAAAACAGATCACAGCGCATCTTTTCTTCCTCCCGACGCTTTCTTCCAACCGCCCCTATGGATCACCGGCCGGACCGCCAGCCACCACCGCTCGCGGCCGGCGGCGCTCCTGCACCAGCCTCATCGCCCCGCCCTTCCCTGAATCATTGCCCACCGCCGTGCTTTAGCCGCCCCGGCCATCCCTCTAGCCCCCGTCCCCATCTAGTTTTCTTCTCCGGTGAAGCCACACCTGTCACATCCCTAGTTCTGGCCTGTCCTATGCTTGCTTCCATCTGAGCATCATGTTTAAATTTTTGAAACCTGAACTGAGGAAGTCAGAAGCCTCAAAACCCTAAATAAAAGAAGGGCAAAAACCCTAAAATCTCATTCATTGTTCCAAAATATTCTTCTTAGATGTTTAGTATTTTTGGCAAGGGTTTTGATCCAAACCAAAAATAATGAACATTTTAAAAGGATTTATTTTGGGACTTTGAATTTAAATCAATACTATTTTGAATTTGAACTTATATCCAAATATTACTGAATATATGTTCAAATAACTGAAACATTTTTATGTGCTTTGGTATAATTCCATTGTGCTAAATAAAATGTTCAGGGGAATTTTGTCACTGTCTTTGAATTTGTTTTATTTCAAAACAGTGGCAAAAGATTAAATAAAAACAAAACAGAAGAAAAAAATAAAAAGAGCAAAGTTTACCTGGCGCTTACCTGTCCAGCCCAGCCGGCCCAGCTCCCCCAGCGGCCCAGCCCGCCACCGCTACCCCCCTGTCGCCTTCCTCCTCTGCCAGGAGGACGGGCACGCGCCCGGCGCGCGCGGCCACGCGCCCCGGCCACCTCCT